GCTCAGACACACACGTGTACATGGAGCTCAGATATACATGTGGGCAAACATTCAAACACATAAAACAAAACAAACAAATCTTTAAAAATACATGGGAAAATTTGGGAAAAATAAGAAAAAGTATCCATTATTTCACAGTAACATATCACAGTCTTCTGCATCCCTTTCCCACCCAGCCCTGAAACATATCTTTAAAAAAAACAAAAAACAAAAAAACATAATCCATACTCTTCCATCTTGAATACCAAGCAACACAATTTTTATTGATTTGTTTAAACATCAATATTTACATAAAAACAATATGCTGTGTGTTTCTGCACCAGTGTGTTCACAGGGGAGCTTGGAGGACCCACTGGTAAGCTGCACTGGCAAATATTTGTTGGACTTTTGCTCACACACACAAGGTACAGTAGCCTTCTGGATTCTTTGGAGATAGAGTCATGAATAAGGCATATTTTTGGCCTTGAGGATTCATAATCTCCCAGCTACCATGTCCCTCAGTCATGACTAAAATACAGTCAGTGGGATCAAGAGTAAGAGTGATCTCGGCATTTCAGAATATAACCATAGTGTTTTTAAAATGTTTACTGTGAGAGTTGGGAGGTTGGTCATTGAATCCCCAGCACCCACGTAAAAGATTGTAACCAAAGTGCTGAGTAGGCAGAGCCCTGGGGCCTCAGGCGAGCCAGTCTAGACTTAATTAAAAAAATTAAGCAGTTTGAATGGAAGTGCTGTTCATGGATGGAGAGTGGCTCGCCCAACAGCCATAGACCTTTAAGCAAACTCCCAGTGTCGGGTGCAGGGTCTCTTCCTGTCAGCTGTTGGCCAGGGAGCCACCCAGGCTCCAGAACATTCTTTGCTCTTGATCACCCACCCACTATAGTGGGAAATTACCAATGCAGAGTCAGGTAGAAATATAAAGGTATTTAATAGGGAAAAGCCTTACTTACAGAGCTGTCTAGCCAGCCGGTGCGTCAGCAGCCTGTACAGCAAGTACCAAAGAGAAACCGAAACCACAAATGCAGTCACACTACCTCACTCTGACCACGCCCTCACAAGCCTGGTCAGGCACACTTGTAGCCAGCCCCTAAGAAGGCGTGGCTACAGCTTCCCCTACAACCCACTACACTGGGGATGCAGCCCACAGGCGAACCAAGCTGGAGCTGAGCTAGCAGCTTCCTCCCTCCCGGCTAGTAAAGCGTCATGAGGTGCTGTGCTGGCTGCTGACTAAGAATAGTCATCAAGAGGCTGGGGCAATGGCACAGCTAAACTCATTAAGCTCAGGAGGTAAACAATTCAACGGCTTCAGGAAGTTCCTGAAACTGACCAGATTCACTAGGCGCCTCCCTTCCCAAGCCTATATAGGCAGTAAGGCCTGCAGAGCTGCCCGGAAGAGGCATGGACCTAGTGAGCTGCAGGGACAGCAGTGCATTCAGGTCTCCAGCTCTGTCACTCATGCAGGTGGGCTTTAGTGGTACAGCTTAGCTGCCTTTGAGTCATTGCTGTCCCTGTAACTTCACCCATGCTCCCGTAAGTAATCCCAATAAAATTCATTTGCTGTGGTGATTTATCATTTATGATTTATTAAAGCTTGCCTGCGGATTCAGCAAGCAAAGTCAGCCACAAGCCATGGGAGCCAGGCACACACCTTTAATACCAGCAGCTAGAAGCTAGGAGATGGTGGTACACACCTTTAATCCCAGGACTCAGGATTAAGAGGTAGACCAAGACCAGAGTTAGTTCAAGACCACACTGATTACATGAAATTGATCCAGTGCTAAGAGAAACAGATCACACAAAGGTGGCTCAGCACTTGGTATCACACACCTTTAATCCCAGCACTAGAGAGGTATAAAAGATAGGAGCAGGGTCTTCAGTAGTCAGTCTCAGAATTCTCTCCAGCCACACTGAGGAGAGGCAGCAGTCTGAGGCTTAGTGGAGAGCTTGCGTGAATCAGCCCTTTCAGCCTGAGGTATCTATCGGTAAGGGCTAGTGGCCGGCTGCTTTGTTTTTCTGATCTTCAGCTTGAAGCTCGCACCCCAATATCAGTCTCTGGATCTTTTAGTGTTCATGCTACAATTTGGTTCACCAAGTTGGATTTGGGTGGGTGTTTGGTCTGTGCTTGGCTCCCGATCTGAGAGGAGTAGGTGTTTGTTCAGCTCCCCAGGAATGGTGCCATACAACAATATGCAAAAGTTTATTGCATTTTTAAGGTTTTTTGTTTGTTTGTTTGTTTTTCAAGACAGGGTTTCTCGGTGTAGCTTTGGAGCCTATCCTGGCACTTGCTTTGGAGACCAGGCTGGCCTCGAACTCACAGAGATCTGCCTGCCTCTGCCTCCCGAGTTCTGGGATTAAAGGCATGCACCACCAACGCCCAGCTGCATTTTTAAGGTTTTAACTTTTGTCTTTTCAAACCTTATTTTTAAGTATGGAATGCCTCACAAATTTCATGTCTTCTTTGTGCAGGAGCCATGTTAATTTCTGTCTCGTTTCAATTTTAGTATATGAGCTACCAAATTTTAACTAATAATTTACATGTGTGTGTGCCTGTTTTATGTATACCATGTATAGGTGTCCATGGAAACCAGAAGAGTGTTGAATCCCCTAGAACTGGAATTTCAGCCATTTATGGACTACCTGATGTGGGTATTTGGAACCAAACCCAGGTTCTCCACAAGAACAGCCAGTGCTCTTAACCGCCGAGCATCTTTTCCACCCCTAATTTTTACTTTATATGTGTGTGTATGTGTATCAGAGTGTGGTTTTGTACGTGTGAGTCCTGTGCTCCCAGAGGGCAGAAGAGGGACTGGCCCCCCTGGAGCTGGAGTTATGGTGGTTTGTGATGCCAGGAATCAAACTTGGGTCCTCTGCAAGAGCAGTATGTGTACTCTTAGCCACTGAGCCGTCTCTCCGTCCCCCTAGTTTATTCCCCTCCCTAAGGGGGGGGGTGTACAGAAGAGGGTGGAGTAAAGAACAAACACTGAAAGGTGGACAAGCAGTGGAGGGCTTCTAAAGGACAGCAACTCTTAAGCGGTAAGTTAAAAGTTTGGAACCCAGGGACTGGAGGGATGGATGACTCCGCTGGTAAGAGAGAGCATTTGCTGCTTTTGCAGAAGACCAGAGTTCAGTTTCCAGTCCCACATGGTTGCTCACAACCATCTGTAACTCGCGTTTCAGGGGATCCAATACCAAGGCATCACATACATACAGATACACACATAAAAAATAATGGAAATGAGACCACATTTAAACATTCATGTCCCTTTAAAAGGAGATACCAAAAGCAGTTTCACATTTTGCTAAAAGTCTGCTATTATCCCCATCTGCCCTCTCCGGATAGTGGAGGGTAGACTATAGCAAGACTGCCTATAGAAACATTCTCATCACAGAGGCCCTGGCACTCCGGGCTTCACAGATCCCAGGCTAGGCCACAAATTCAAGAGCGGACCTACGCGTTCCAAGGTACCACGCCCTTAAATAGTCTGCAGTCTCTTCCATGTCAGATCCTTTCCGGGCTTCTGGGTCAACGGTCCTCAGCGAAGATTCTACCCTCTGAGACCCCTGGCTCCCACAACGCCCGCTCCTCCCCTGGGCTCTCCGTGCAGACTCAGCCACGACCCGCCCACCTCGAGACCCCGCCTCCGGGCCCCTCAGCCCCAGATGCCCAATGGGCTGTCTTCCTCGCAGTGAGCCTCAGG